TGTTACGACTTTTACTTCCTCTAAATGACCGAGTTTGACCAGCTTTCCGGCCCGGGGGGGTCGTTGCCAACCTCCCTGGGCCAGTCCGGAGGCCTCACTGAGCCATTCAATCGGTAGTAGCGACGGGCGGTGTGTACAAAGGGCAGGGACGTAATCGGCACGAGCTGATGACTCGTGCCTACTAGGCATTCCTCGTTGAAGAGCAATAATTGCAATGCTCTATCCCCAGCACGACAGGGTTTAACAAGATTACCCAGGCCTCTCGGCCAAGGTGATGTACTCGCTGGCCCTGTCAGTGTAGCGCGCGTGCGGCCCAGAACATCTAAGGGCATCACAGACCTGTTATTGCCGCGCACTTCCATCGGCTTGAGCCGATAGTCCCCTTAAGAAGCCAGCGGCCCGCAAATGCGGACCGGGCTATTTAAGGAGCCGAGGTCTCGTTCGTTATCGCAATTAAGCAGACAAATCACTCCACCAACTAGGAACGGCCATGCACCACCATCCAAAAGATCAAGAAAGAGCTCTCAATCTGTCAATCCTTATTTTGTCTGGACCTGGTGAGTTTCCCCGTGTTGAGTCAAATTAAGCCGCAGGCTCCACGCCTTGTGGTGCCCTTCCGTCAATTTCTTTAAGTTTCAGCCTTGCGACCATACTCCCCCCAGAACCCAAAAACTTTGATTTCTCGTAAGGTGCCGAACGGGTCATCATAGAAACCCGTCCGATCCCTAGTCGGCATAGTTTATGGTTAAGACTACGACGGTATCTGATCGTCTTCGATCCCCTAACTTTCGTTCCCTGATTAATGAAAACATCCTTGGCGAATGCTTTCGCAGTAGTTAGTCTTCAGCAAATCCAAGAATTTCACCTCTGACAGCTGAATACTGACGCCCCCGACTATCCCTATTAATCATTACGGCGGTCCTAGAAACCAACAAAATAGAACCGCACGTCCTATTCTATTATTCCATGCTAATGTATTCGAGCAAAGGCCTGCTTTGAACACTCTAATTTTTCACAGTAAAAGTCCTGGTTCCCCCACAGCCAGTGAAGGCCATGAGGTTCCCCAGAAGGAAAGGTCCGGCCGGACCAGTACTCGCGATGAGGCGGACCGGCCAGCCAGACCCAAGGTTCAACTACGAGCTTTTTAACTGCAACAACTTTAATATACGCTATTGGAGCTGGAATTACCGCGGCTGCTGGCACCAGACTTGCCCTCAATTGTTCCTCGTTAGGTTATTTAGGTCGTTCTCATTCCGATTACGAGACCCGAAAGAGCCCCGTATCAGTATTTATTGTCACTACCTCCCCGTGTCGGGATTGGGTAATTTGCGCGCCTGCTGCCTTCCTTGGATGTGGTAGCCGTTTCTCAGGCTCCCTCTCCGGAATCGAACCCTAATTCCCCGTTACCCGTTGCCACCATGGTAGGCCACTATCCTACCATCGAAAGTTGATAGGGCAGAAATTTGAATGAACCATCGCCGGCGCAAGGCCATGCGATTCGTTTAGTTATTATGATTCACCAAGGAGCCCCGAAGGGCGTTGGTTTTTTATCTAATAAATACACCCCTTCCGAAGTCGGGGTTTTTAGCATGTATTAGCTCTAGAATTACCACAGGTATCCATGTAGTAAGGTACTATCAAATAAACGATAACTGATTTAATGAGCCATTCGCAGTTTCACAGTATAAATTGCTTACACTTAGACATGCATGGCTTAATCTTTGAGACAAGCATATGACTACTGGCAGAATCAACCAGATAACTACCTTGCGGCCCAGGGGCGGGGATATTGCTATCCACCGTCGCCCGGGCACGAGGCCCCCCGAAGGGGACCGGAAGGTGAGCTATGTAATCTGGAAGGGACGCACGAAGCGCCCGATCGACCGCGAAGGCCCCCAGCGCACCGGGAACCCGCGACGACCATCCAATTGCCCCCACTGGGCCCTCCAGGACCGGTCCGCACGCAGGTGAACCCTGCCGGGACGCCCTCACGGGCGCCGACAGGCTGCGGCATATGGTCCTCTGGTGGGGGTCCGGACCCCCGCGGACACGCCGGCGAACGGCGGCTCCCGCAGGTGGCTCCCCGGGAATCTGGGTTTCGATGATGGCCAGCGGCCAACGATCCACAGACTCCGTCAGCGCCGGGGACCACGCAAGGGCCCCCGGGCTTCAGTCACCCCCCCAAACCGCGAAACACGGACCCCGGGGTGCGACGGCACAGGCTTCTTTCCGACCCAACCGCACGCCCAGCACCGGGAATCCCGTAACCTGGGTACCGTCAACCGCTCCCCGAAGGGGCAGCAACGTGGCACTCCCAGGCGGAGGAAACCGGCCTGCAGCGGCGGCGAGGCGGACACCTGGCCATGGCGCCCCACGGCAGTTCGACCGCAGGGGGGTGGTTGGCAGTCCCCGTTCCTGAGGTGTCGCCCGCGATGCGGGACCGAATCACCACCAGGCACAGAGAGACTGCCCATCTGGCAGGGAAGAAGTGTGGGAGGGC